ACTGCTGATGGTCCAACGGATCTGTAAGGACCTAGTTATCTCTTGACATGCTTGCTGCAGCCCACGCGTCTCTCCGGTCTGTTGGGGAAGGGGGTTATCTTTCTCTGGATTTAGTTGGCACTTGGGAGTAGCGGCTGGCCAGGGTGATGGTGCTTTCTCCTCACCTGCTCTGCTCTCCTCTTCCCCAGGGTAATGCGTCTGACTCGCTTGCCCCCCGAGATCGTGGAGCACAGCGAGCCCCTCCAGGTTGTGCGGTACGACCAGGGAGGGCACTACCATGCCCACATGGACAGTGGCCCCGTCTTCCCCGAGACTGCCTGCAGCCACACCAAGCTGGTCGCCAATGAAAGCGCTCCCTTTGAGACCTCCTGCCGGTAAGGCCTGCCTTGGCACAACCTGGAACGCGCTAGAGAAGAGGTGTGGAGACATGTTTCACTTCACCTCGCACGGGGCTCGATGCTCAGGTTGTGGGCTCACAAACCAACTCTGGAGATTGCTGGCATGAGGGGGTTTGAAGGGGGAGATGGATGAATCCTGTGGGTCCATGCAAGAAGGGCGGAGTGGTTCTGCAGAGCTGCTGGACCACCCCCACCAGAGGCCAGAAACGCACCCTCAATGGCTGTGGGAGGGGATTTTCTTTATTGTCCTTCCTGGTCTTGTGCTTGGAGAAAAGCTGATGATGTAAATCACATATCTTGTGGTGTCTTGGAGGAACCACTGTGTGTATGGTGGAGGGTATCTGTGTCCCCTTCTCCAGTTGTGTCCCCTGACAGCCACTCTGTCTTGCAGGTATGTGACAGTGCTGTTCTACCTGAACAATGTGACTGGAGGAGGCGAAACGGTCTTTCCTATAGCTGACAACAGAACGTATGAAGAGATGGTAAATGAATCTCGCCTACGTGTTACCCTGGGGATTTTGAGTCCCTCTTTGAATGTCTTTATTTGCTGCGGCTGCAGAAGGGGTCTGGTGTGTGAGGCTGGTGGACATTAGCCTTCAGAGCTAGAACACGGGGAAGCTACGTCCCTCTGAGGCCAAGGGAGGAGGTGCAGAGGTTTCACAGCTGCACCTCTCCCCGCTCGGAGGCGTGAGGAGTGGTCTGTTGGCCTTGCTGCACTAACACGGGTCCTGCTCGCTTCTGTCTGGGCGGGTTTCCTCAGATTAAGTCTTGGCAGCAGGTGTGTTGTGCTGCTGTCGTGCGATGCTGCTCAGAACCAGGTCATGGACCTCCGGGGGGGGCTGAAACTGGTTGCTCCGGGTGGGTTGTGAAAGGCCTGCCCTGCCCAGCGTCAGCCTTGAGCTGTCCCTGTGGGGCGTTCAGGCGAAGGGCAGGATGAGGACTGGCAGCAGAGGCATTTGCGACACCTTCTCTGTGGTTTCTTTGTGCCAGTCTTTGATCCAGAATGACGTTGACCTGCGAGATACTCGGAAAAACTGCGACAAGGGCAATTTGCGAGTGAAACCTCAGCAAGGCACTGCTGTCTTCTGGTACAACTACCTGTCAGACGGAGAAGGTACGGTCCTGTTTCGAGGCTCGGCTCTCGGGAGGGGTAGGAATGCAGGAGGTGACAGCCGTTGTCTTCTTGCGGTGGCTGGGCGCTCAGAAGAGAGCCAAAGGGTGGTAGCTGCCTGCTAGTGGGAACTGGAGGGTCTACTTGTCACCAGCTGAATAGGAGCTTCCTGACTCTGAAAGGCCTTTGTTTACAAGCAGTAGGTCAGTGGCTCCTGATGCCTTTGGGGGACAGGAGTAGCTAGCAAACAAAGACCTTGGCTGCACTAGCCATCGCCAGCTGCCTCCCATCCCACTGTGCGAGCTGAAACTCCTGCTGGAACTTGGTCTGCCATTGAAAATGTTTCACTGATGTGGTGTTGCCCAAAGCGGTGGGGAGGGGGGAGGCAGACAAAGGCACGGCCATGGGCTCTGCAGCACAGGGAGGCATGGCCCGCCCCGCGCCAGGCTCTGCCGTGCTTGGGGCTGAATCCTGCTTTCTGGCTTGGCCGCAGCGTGATGATATGTGTCCTTGGGGCTGTTTTTCTCATGAAGCGCAGCGTGGTTTTCCCTGACAGCCAGGCTGGGGGATTGACATGAATCTTCCAGGCTGCTGGTGAGTGTGACTCCAGAGTGTTTCGATGGCAGATTTTGAGCAGTGGTAGGAGAAAGGACTATGGCATCCCAGCTCCCCTGGGAGCAGCTCATGTTTCCATCTCTAGAAAATCCACAGAGGAGGTCGGAAGACCAGCATTTGGCCTTTTGGATGATAATATCAAGACTATCACTCTCCTGTAAGAGCCCTGGTGTGTTTTTATGAGCAAATTGTTCCTAAATGGAAGGCGGCTGCCGATGCAAGTCTGCTACAGAAAAAAACGTGGTACCTCTGTAAAGAGAGGGTCGTTTGGAACGGCTGAAATGCAATCTCTAATATGGCCCTGAGCCTCTGACTTCCACGGGCCTTCTAGCAGCAGCACCTGTTTTCCACACGCCAACCTCCTCTTTTGAGAATTGTAGAATGGTTTAGGTTGGAAAGGACCTTAAAGATCATCTAGTTCCACCCCCCCTGCCCTGGGCAGGGGCACCTCCCATAGACCTGATTGCTCAAAGCCCCATCCAGCCTGGTCTTGAACACCTCCAGGGATGGGGCAGCCACAGCTTCTCTGGGAAACCTGTTCCAGTGCCTCACCACCCTCACAGTGAAGAAATTCTTCCTTATATCCAATCTAAATCTACTCTCTCTAGTTTGAAGCCATTACCCCTTGTCCTATTGCTACATGGTGTTGTAAAAAGTCCCTCTCCAGCTTTCTTGTAGGACCCCTTTAAATACTGGAAGGCTGCTTTAGGGCCTCCCTGCAGCCATCTCTTCTCCAGGCTGAACAACCCCAACTCTCTCAGCCTGTCTTCATATAAGAGGTGCCCCAGCCCTCTGATCATCTCTGTGGCCTCCTCTGGACCCTCTCCAGGAAAGAGGAGCACTAGAGAAGGAGCTGAGAAAAACAGCAGCCATGATGCAGAACGTGAGAGCCCCTTGCGCTGAGTGGAGACGCGAAGGCAACGAGCGTTTTGCATTTGGGGACCCTGCCCTGGCAGGTGTTTTTGGGGACACCTCCTTGTAGGTCCTAGGGTTTGGGGTAGCACCAAGATGGAGGGGTGCCAGGAGCAGCCAACTCCTGTAAGACATCACCGAGCTAAAATCCAAGCTGGCGCCGCGGGTGGGAGAGCTGGTGCTGCCCCCGGCTGTGCCGCAGCACTCCTCGCCACCTCCTAACAGGGCTATTTTTATTTATTTTAATTTTTTTTTGGCTCGTCAGGCTGGGTGGGGGAGCTGGACGACTTTGCCTTGCACGGGGGCTGCCTGGTCACCCAAGGCACCAAGTGGATCGCCAACAACTGGATCAACGTGGACCCCAACCGCCACCGGCAGCTGCGGTTCCAGCAGGAGATGGAGCGCTACGCGGGGGCCGGGCCGGGCGAGTGGACAGTGGATAAATCCTACAGCGGGGTGCACCTGGAGCTGTAGGGACGGCGACTGGGGCGGGGGGGG